ACTCAGAGGGCGTCCAGGCCGCCACCCCTCTGGAGGGGGATCTCCCCTCCTCTCCAGGCAGGCCTCGGCCGCCCGCTGCCAAAGGGATTCCTGCGGATCCACCCCAGAGCTCTGTGAGAACCAAAGTCTCCGGGGCCAGTTCCAACGGGATCCCTACGAATCCACCCCAGAGCTCTGTGCGAACCAAAGTCTCCGGGGCCAGTTTCTCCTCCCTCTCGGCTGAAGGGCCCGAAGCCCCTCTGGGCCACCATCCGCCTCCTCCTCCTCCTCCTCCTGCCACGCTCCTGGTGGCCCCGAACGGAGAAGCCAGGGGCCCGGACGTCGGTTGCATCGAGACAGGGCAGCCCTCCGAAGGTCGCTTCCTGGCTGGGCCGCTGCCTCCCTTCCTAGACCCTCCAGATGCAGGAGCCGGTGCGGATCTCGCCAGCTCAGCCGCCACGGAAAGGGCCGCTGGCGCTGCGGCTTCCACGGCTCATCCCCCCGAGGAACTTGGTGCTCCAGGAAAAGCCCCTGAGAGCGGCCACGCGGATCCCGCCTTGGGGACGTGGCTCAGTCTTTACTCAGAGGAAGACCCCGTGAGCAAAAAAGCCGGGACTGAGGCCACAGAGGGTAAAACCCAGGGCAGCACCGATCCTCATCCGGATGAAACTCAGCCCCAGGAGGATGCTCCCAAGCCGCATTTACGGGAAGCCCCCTTGCGGGGGGTTCCGCCTCTAAAGGACAAGCGAGCCTCCCCTGCCCTCAGCCGGCTGGCCAAAGAGATACCTTTCAAGAAAAGCACAGGGGGCCATGGACCGGCGGAGGGGGCCCTGGGTGTGCCCGGCTCTCTTGACCGTGGGGAGGGGGCTCAGAACCCTCCCTGCCCAAAGGACAAGCCTCCTCCGGCGCTGGGCGGCACCGACGTTGCCAACCAAGAACCGGGAAGCCACCCAATCAAACCGGCCGGTGGCCCCTTCCGAAGCGAGGCGGGGGGAACGCCAGCAAAGCACCACGCTTCTGACCCAAGCCGATGCCCAGAGAGACCCGTGGCCGGTGGGCAGGCGAAGCTTCACCCGGCAAAAAGGAAAGAGCACAAGTCTTCCCACAAGGGCAGCCCTGCTTCCCAGGAGAACCTCGAGGAAGACGGGAGCAGGAAGAAGAAAGCCCGGACCCAGGAGCCGGTGAGAAATGACGGCCCTAGAGGCTACCGACGGGCCGACTGGGCGAGTGGGGATGGCCTGGCGCTCTCTCCGCGGAGGAGGGACTCCCCTTGCCCTAAGCCGACCCCTAAGCTCAAGGTGCCCCTGCCTGCCGGCCAGCTGAGAAGGCTCCTGCCGGACCCTGGTTTCCCGAAGAAAGGGGAGGGGCGCCCCCATGCCCCCGGAGACGGGAAGCCCCGCCGGAGAGGCCTTCTGGGCAGCAAGGCGGCCCTCCACCCGCTGGGAGCCAAGGACCCCTCCCTCTCCCTTCCCGGCTCTTCAAACCGGCCGAGAGCTCTCCAAGGTGCTAAACTGCCCGACGCCGCTCACAATTACAGGACGGCGGAATCCCAGAACAATCTGCTAAGCCAACTGTTTGGGCAGAAATTAACTAGCTTTAAGATTCCTTTAAGAAGAGATACTTCTGAGTAATTTATGAAAGTGACTTATGGTGATCCTTCGCTGCTTTCATGGGGTTTGCAAGGGAGAGGGGGGTTGAAATTATCAAAGCATTAAATTCGTTTGTGTAGCGAGATTTCTCTGTCTAGCTTAAATGAACTTGCACTGCAGCCTCTGAAATAGTTTTGCTTTGTGTCTTACTAATCTACTTTAATTCACCTGATTTATCATGCAAATGCTAGAACTTTGATGTTGCTGATGATTTCCATGAACTAAAACTGTAATCGCTTTGGGCAGAGCGAAGCGTCAAGAGGAAATGCTTTATGGGAGAAGTGCTGAGGTTAGAAGGATCCTTTGCAAATCCCAACCCCTTTTCAGACAGTGTCTCTGTTATCTTTGTACAAAGTACTTGAAGAGATGAACTTCATTCCAGAGATGTCTTATTCATAAGGTGCAGCACACTGTAGGAAGCGCTCCCTCCACCTCCCACCCCTCCTGGAGGTTTTGCACAAATATCCCCCCAAAAAACCCACATTTAATTGGGAAGCCGCCTAGGATGGGATAGAGGTTTTTTTAAAAAAAAACACACACACACAGACACATAAACGTGTGTGTGTGTGTGTGTGTAAAAAAACCTATATATATATACACACACATATAAAGGAGGAAGTAGGCCAGAGTTTGGACAGACAAGCGTTTCCAGGAAGATTGCATCAGGAGCAAACTGGTATGACTGTGAGGTGTATGGGAAGTCACTGCCTTTATGAGACCACTGTAGATGTTGCTGAAAGGGGTTTGAATGTTTGTCTTTTAAGAGACAGCTCTCCTAGCTGAACTGCACCTTGAAGATGTGTGATATAGTTTCATATTAATTATTGTTTTTATTATTGTTGTTATTTTCCGGTGAGAAAACTGTGCCAAGTTACCAACCCCCCTCCCTCCCCCTCCCCCCACATGCAAACCTGCAGTACTGTGTTCTAAAAGCCAGCAAAGTGTCATTGCTGAACCAAAAACTCTTACTGTATTAAGGTAGTAGCTACACCTGGTAGGGGAGTTACAACTTGCAGATAACTGGTGCTATTTTTTATTTTGCTCTTGTAATGTGAATACAGGTGGGAAGACACAGACACACAGACAGACACAGAGCAACTCAAGGGGGAAAAGGGAGATATTCGTGAAAGAATCTGCCTGTAGAAATCTAACTCGGAGACAGCGCAGGGTGGCGTTTCCAGGCATCCTGGGAGCTGGTGGTGCCGACATCAGAGAGGCCATGAAGGCGCTCTGGGTTTTAGCCTGAACATTAAATGTGCAGCCCAAGCTGTTGAACCTCCTTGGGGTCTTGTGGCCAGGGCCTTGGATAGCTCCCCTGCACACAATTCTGCTGTGCAAACACTCTGCAGCACACTTAAGGACGGTCACATCTGGAGGCTCGAATCTCAGGTGCAAGAGGAGGAGGAGGGGGGGGTCGGCTCTTCGTAGGGGCGCCTAAGGTCCAGGAGGAAGAGGAGGGACTATGCACTGACTGGTTAATGGGGGTGGGGGTGGGGGAGGGCATGCTCTCAGAGTACCCGGCGTGCATTTTGCAAACTGCGCACGGTGTGTTTTTAAGAATTTTAAAGGAATTAAATGGCTTTATCCTGTTAATAGGTACCTTTGTAGTTTCTTTGTGTTATAAAGAAAGAAAGAATGATAGGTTAATTATACATTGGGTGCTTTATGTTAAAAGTTTTTATTTTGATATTTGTCAGAAAGCTGAGAAAAAAAAGATCAGCAGGTACAGTTTTTAAAAATATAACGTTGTACAGGTGCTATTTGAGCACCTCTTTTCATACTGTCGAATAAAGTCTGAGATGAGCAGTCGAGGCGGTGCTGTAAAACAGGGCCCGGATTTCTACTCTCAAAATATAGTCCAATATTTTCACAGAAGCTCTCGAGTCTGAGTGGCATTTTTCATACAGTCTGCTTTTATTGCTTCTTTTATTGCTTCATGGGTATGCCATGAGAGGAACAGCCTCCTCGGGGGCCCAATCCAGCCCCACCCCATGCCTCCCCACGCACTCTGTCTGCAGAATCCTCTTCCTTTGGCCCCCAGCTACCTCTAAAATATGCCTCTCTCCCCCCCTCCCAATCTTCTCTGGAACTCCGTTGATCCTTTGGGGGGGGTGAAAGGGGTTCTCCTTCCTCACCCATGAGCCGTGGAAATCATGGGGGCTGGGCAGAGGTGGGTGTCTCTTTGGGCAGAGGTACCCATTGAAACAAGGCCAATTTTTGCAGGTTGGTGGTGTGTAGATGCAAATTATCCTGGGGACTATAAATGAAAAAAGAGTAACTCCCCCCCCCCCACAATTGCTGATAAAAAGACAGAGCCCCAGACGGTGGGTTGATAACGCTGGGACTTCTAGCTTCTAATCTTGAGCCATGCTGGGCTCCTTGGCTGTTGCCACCCGTTTGACTCCATCCACAGACCTCTCTTCCTAGAATCAGGCTTTGCCTCCAAACGCCTCTCATTCAAGTTAATTAGCCACCCAAATTCAGTGGGAAAGGAAAGCGGGCTTCTGTCAACTCAGCAAATGCAGAGGATGATGCCGCTGCTCCCTTGCCCTCAATTAGCACTCTAAAAACCCATGTTGACATCATAGAAATAAATGCACCTCCGTGACGTGGGAGAAGCTCGGGTGGGGGGGTGGGGGTGGTCCGCTCCCTCCTCCCTGACAGACCCAACCTTGCAAAGTCACAGCCCAGCAGATGGAGCAAAGCTTTCTACTGATGGGAGCGGAATGAAATCTGTGCCACAGCAGATCTTTTCCGCTGATGGGCACGAGAGAAGACCACCAGGTCTTCATGCCGCTTATCCACCTTGTAGATAGGAGCACATCCTGCTGCATTTCGGGGTGTACGTGCTTACAGAAAGTTCAAGCACAGTAGCAACAGCCACCTTGCTGAGTTATCATGGCAGCCCCTGGCCCTTCTAGAGAGGGGGGGGAACGGCTGCTCAGATGGTCCCGGTCAGTTCCCTTTGGCCCTCCGGCTGACCTCTGACTGAGCATCCTTGAGCTGCAGCGTCACAGTGCCTGCCACAAAGCAACGGGTATATTATATTCTTTAATTACTGTTGCAATCATAACATTTAAACACTGTCAACGAGAGATAGCTCGTAACCGCAGGCTAGAATCCTGCCACTTGGGGCTTGTAACTAAAACTGCAGGATTAATTTGATTAATTGATAGAATTATTTTCCAAACCACTCTTTTGTTTATGGCGGCTTAAAATGCTCACAGCCCGCACCCTCGCAGAGCGTTGTGAAGTCGAGATAACGCTCTCTGAAAATAATTAGTATAGCTTAATTTAGGGAGGGGAAAAAAATAACCTCCAAAAAAATGTTCCCGATCAAGAAATGTACAGCCGCACACATTTTGCAAGCAAGCTTTGGCGAAAAATATCACGGAGGCGGAAAAGGGGCTTGGGCACTCCCGCCTGGAGATACTGCGTTGCAGACACAAAAGCACCAGGAAGAGAGGAGAGGGTGTCCCCGTGTGTTCCAGATTTCTCGCTCCTCCAGATGAATCTCATGAAGCGCTTTCAGAAGCAACAGGCTCCTCTGGAAGTCCTCAGCCGAGAAAAAGCAGCTTCCGGGTGGCGGCCGATCTCTGCTCCCTCATCTCGTCACCTTATTTCGTTCGAACACACCAGAAGCAGGGACCCAAGTGGGTCTCCTCGGCCTTGCCCAGGAAAACAGCCCCGGGAGCCTGCACGCGTGGATCGTGGACGGCCAAGCGGTGAGGGCACCGTATGGGAGCGGAAGAACCGAAGAGGCTCTTCCTGTTCCCTTGCCTTCTCCAGGACGAAGCCAGGATTCCGGAGCTGAGCTTTGATGAAGGCGAGTGAGGACCCGAGAGGAGGGGACGCAGCGCGCAGCGTTTTCGGGTAGGAAAGCTTGCCTGGGAGCCGACGGCCTAAAGAGAAGAGGCTGAGGCCCTCAACTGGGGAAGGGGTTCAAAGAGGACCTTGAGGACGTTGCTCCTCTGGGCTCTTGGAGTCGCAAGAGCCCAAGAAGGCAACGGCTTCCCTCGCAGGTGGAGGAGGATCTCCCAAACAGCTCTTGGCCCATCCGGGCACCGTTTGCCTTAGAAGGACGACGACTCTCCTGTCTCAGGAAGGCAGGAAGACACTGGGCGCCCCCCCCATGTCCAGTTTCCCCACCACCACCGGGTTCTCGGAGGGAGGGAGCCAGGTTTTTCCCCCCTGCCCGTTTTCTTCCCACCATGCATCCAGTTCAGTATGTCCAAGGAACTCTCTTGAAATGGGGGCCGCCATAGAAAGGGCACCAGGAAGAGCCACCGCAGAAACATGGATGGCCCACACCCCCTGTTGCCACACCATCAGCAGATGTTCAGGACTTCTGCCAGGGCAGGTGATTTGCCCAGATCTGAGGGCAATCCTGGGGAAATAAAGGAGGGGTGGGGGGGGAGAGAGAGAGGAAGAAGGGAGCAGCAGCCCTGCCTGTCCGTCAGTCAGACTCAGCTCCCTAAAGCCCTCGAGTTTCCTGAGCCCAGCTTTGATCGCTGAGCGCTTCGGACGCGTGTGACACTTGGAAGATTGCTGGGGAGGACACCATAATTCCCACAAAGAAGGGAAAGGAGAAAGGAAAGCCATGAGTCCTTGCAGATTAACACTGGGCTGGGGTGGTGAGGGGGGGGGCGCAGGGTGTGGATGTGAGCTGGGGGGGGCAGCGTTTGGACCAGGGAGAAAGAGTGCGGCTAAGGAGGGGGAATGGGGGGGTGCAGGCATGGGAGAAGAAAGAGCCACAGAGCGGCCTGAGGAAGACCCCCAGCTGCCCCAGCCCTCGAGAAGGCAACCTTCCCTGCCCACCAGCAGCTGGACCTGAAGTGACGCTTGCCCAAATCTAGGGATCGGATCAGGGCCTTGGCTTGCAAAATGCCCAGGCGGAAGACCTGGTGGCTTTCCTCTGTTCCCCCACCTGGTGAGGTCAAGTCCCAAGTCTCGCCACAGGGAGATCTGGCCAGCAGGGGGCAGCCCAGCCTCCCTCTGGGCACAGGTCTTCTCCATGCGCACATCCACTCTACCTAAAAGCCCCAGGGAGGAAATTCTGGGGCTTCTTTTGGGGACTTCCCAAATCATGCCCCACTTACCAAGCAGCCCTTTGCCAATCCCATGCCCAGTGCCCGCTTTTTCTGAACCAAGCAGAGAGTTAGACTGGAGAGCTGGCCAGACCCTCCCATGCTTGGATCCTAATGTTTATTTATAATTTAAAACATGGGGGATGGATGGATGGATGGATGGATGGATGGATGGATGGATGGATGGATGGATGGATGGATGGACTGGCTAATAGGCTACGTAGGCATTCTATGTTTCTCCCATAACTGACACTCAACCGAGACCCGTCATCGCAACATTAAACTGAAGCCCATTAAAAGCCAAAGCCAAAGCAGCTTCTTAACTGATGATTAAGTTCAAAACAGCACCAAGCTGATTTTGAAACTCACCTACACCAAGTCCAGTGTCCAGTTGAGAACAACTCCTTCCTCGTTGGCTGCTCTGTGGCCAGAAGCCCACTTGAGTCATGAAAGGACCTTTGCCCCCTCGATCTAAAAAGAAGGCG